GGGTTAGGCAAGGTAGCTACTCATTTCTAAGATCCGTATTATTCAGTGCACATAAATTTTGTCAGCGTTATAGAAATTCTCCTCAAACCAAAAACGCAAATAATTGAACAAACAGATCATCTAAAAAATGAGGAAGGAACCTTAGGTACTTCAAGAGTTCTCAATTCCTGCAGAAGCTGAACAAAAGGAGAGCAGGATAGAAGAGCCTGCAGGGTTGCATTTAGAAAGCATAGATTTCCTGAATTGATTAGACCACGAGGCAATAAGCTTTTAGAAACTGTAACAGGCGCATTTGAAGCCTTCTGTAGTTCCCCCTTAATCTTAGAAACAGACAAATCATCAACACTGCCATTCTGCTCTCTATTCTGAAATTCCAGGCTTGAAAATTGATTGGAGAGACCACCTTCGTCCTTGGATAAAGGCAAAGAGGTTAAGTTAACTTTATTAGTTGTCACCTCTTTCACACCTTTACTATGGGCAGAACAATTAACATAATTATCAGTGCATCCATTCTCTGCCGGAGTTGCTGACGATACAGATAAATTACCATCTACTGCTTTTACAGCCTTAACTTCATCCTGCTTATTAAGTGAACTTAACGGCTGAAGTTTGGTGGGCGCTTTCAAAGAACTTTTTTGTCCGCTTGATTCGCCATTAAATTGAACCGACGATTTTGGAGTAACAAAATTTATACTACTCATCTGCTGAAGGAGATACACTTTCTTACAACTAAGACATATATAGTCTTAGCAGCATTAACGATTCAATAAATATTTTTCACGCATTCAAGAAGTGCATTACTCGTCCAATAAATACTTGCCACGTGTTTACCAAAGTTTCTATCATGTGGAAGACAGACTGAATTCGATGAGACGAATCTTGAGAGACAACGATAGTCTGAGAATATGGCAGGTAGGGCTAGATCACCAACATAGAATACTAAAAGCTGATGTTTAACCCCCAAAACCCCACCAGATAAAAAAGTTTGCTTAGTGTAAGAGCCAAAGAATCTATTCTTTCACTAAATATTCACTTTTGGGGCGTTTCCAACTTCACACATATTCTTCTCTTAATAAGTGGAGTCAATGGCAGATCCAGCATGGGGTCATTGGTTGTCCTTGACCTCAATAACTCCAAAAATCCAATATATATTTGTCTGTACGTTGTATTTGACCCCTATAAATAGCTGAGCTAAACTAAATTACAACCTCCTCCTCCTACTTCTTCTATTTTCTTTTATCATGTTTGTCTTCCTTTTCTCTCTTCTTATATGAAATACTTTAGTTGAAAAACCTTGACAGTCCTCAACATTACTTCACAGTATCTTGCATCCACCCTCAACAAGCCTCTACAAATAATAGGTGTTGGCGACATATGTTGGCTAAACTTTCAGCATATGTTGTCAGGAATTGGCAAGTGCCTACTAGTTGCTCGACAAAATGGCCCAGTGAAACTTTTTGGTTGATATTATGACCTCATTATTTGAAATCCTATCTACGCTACTAATTGTTTGTTGCACTGTCAATCGTGCATGTGGCACATCATATAAAAGAACGTAACATGTTACATTGTCCGGCAATATCTTGCATAAATGATCATCTTTTTTGAGTTCTTTTTTTCTAGATTTGCATTATGTAGATTCTTCATGTCTTCCACTTGACTATTTCTTTGTTAATCACATCTTCTATAGTTCTATGCTTTATCTAATTAATTATTCTAAAGCAAACATTAATGCATTGCAATTATTGTCCAACAAAAAGAAGTGAATGTTGTTGAAGGTGCATGAATTAAAAGACGTTTAATTACGAAATTGAGTGACACAAAGAATGACTTTCTGATGGCTTTTCACAAAACTTGACAACCCCAACTTATGGGGAAGGGCTTCTATAATATGGATACACTATTGTTGTGGCGTTTCGTGCCAATAATACAATGTCATGTCAAAAAAAACTCACACAATGCTATATTATTGGCACAGAACGACAAAGTGGCGATGTCTTGATGCAATGGAATTTGATCTCCTACTTGTTACTCTTCTTCGTAGACATTGTCGAATAGTGGATAGATATGTAAATTATATTATCGTGTGCATTTTTATTAAAGCTAGCATCTGTTTTATTGATTTGGGGACCCTAGATCTGACAGTGCCCAAGATCCGAGCCAATTACCCTACTAAATGAGAGATGCTCATATGTAACCAATTCACTATGTATCAACTATCTATTGGGCATGTGATGCCATTAAAATTATGTATTAGTTGTAAGAGAGAGCCTCTCCTGCTTCATACACCATCGTTAGTCATCATTGTTAAGCTTGGGCAGAAAAGAATTACATTTAAAAATTCAAGCTTTAATAATGAAAGGAATGCCTTTATGATTTCATAATTTTTATGCTTCTATAATTTCATACACTATTTGGGCTCATCTAAATAGCAGCTACTCCGCTTGTCGAGCCAGAACCACCAAATTTCTTGGTTCAACTTGAACCACCACCTACACCAAACTCAATCATGGGCTAAATGATATTTTTTAGGTTTTATTCCCTCCTCCTAAACCTAACTCAACTCATGCTAAATGTGTAAGCTAAAAGTTAAAAGCTGAACAAAAGCCAAATTCCCCCCAGAATTTAGCCCAGAAAATGGTGTAGGCATCATCTACTGGACCACACCCACATGGGCATGTCTCCAAAATTTATTGAATCCAACAGCTAAGATCGAATATAATCAAATCTAACGGTAAAAAAAAAAAAAAATTTAACAACCCAAATTTAAATCCAATGGCTAAAATAATTAAAAAAAATAGTAATTTTTCAATATTTATCAGAATTTAAATATTTTTAGGTTAAAATGTTCATAAAATTAAATTATGATAGTGTACATAATTTTTTTTTAATTACTTTAAAAGAAAAAATTAGCCTAAATTTATTCTTTAATAATCTCAGACTAAAAAATTTAGGCCACAAGGGTTGAAGCAGAAAAGTTATTTCTGGTTTAAAACTTTTAGGTTTTAGCTCAAGAGTTGGAGATGATCTTAGGAAAGGCCTCTCAAAACGTACATAACATAAACACCACGTCATATTATGTCTTGCCTTCGTTGCCACAGTACTACGACATTATATGTTGCCTTCGTTCGTTGCTAAAGTAGTACAGCGACCATTTGGACGAAATTTTTTATGTGTACTCGAATCAAAAGATGGTACACCATATCTTATAATATATAAGTAAACAACAAAATTGATATATCTCACTTTAGGGTAATATTAATTTTCTAATGTTCCTTCACTTATGTTATTGCATGGAATATTCTTTTTAGTTTTGAGTACATTAAAAAATCCTAAAGTGAAGATAATTATGCGGAAGGAAACTACCAGCTATAGCGGCAAACATCTTTTTTAAAGTAGAGCTTTATTATGTTCACCCAAACAATTAAGGAGGTTTTGATCACTTCAATTTTGTCTTTTAGATTAATTAATTATAAACTGCTCTCTAATTTGAAAGAAATTTTTCATTGTGACCGGAATACAGGAGGATACAACACGTGTTTTTATATAAGTCGTGGGAAATTTTATGTTTTAAGTTATTAACTTTTTAATACACATATCCCACCATTTATATAATGACACGTTATATCATTCTGTGATCGATCACATTAAAAAATCTCTTCTGATTTCAACCATCCTCCAACTATTAGCGGAAAAATCAACTAATCAAAGCAGCTGAAGCACCTTTTACTGATAGCTGCAGAAGCTGCAGAAGCACCCTTTAGGGTAAAGGAACCACCGCTCAAGTTGAAACAAAGCAACTGGCTGGCTGGGTTGGGCACATTTGGCAGAAGCACCTTTCAAATGAATTCTGCTTTTGGAATTTGAATATTTTATTTGGCTTTCGAATTTCGATTTGCTTGTTTTAAAATGCATTGCACAAAATATTTGACTGCTTTCCTAATAAGGGATTACAGCCATCCATATTTGACTGCTTTCCTAATAAAGGATTACAGCCATCCAGATTGCCTTGTTGCTTCATGCTTACGTTTAAGGGCCCGTTTAATACTTTAGTATTAAATACTTACGCTCATAAACGCATTTTATTGAAAATGCAAAAAAAAAAAATAATTATCAAATACCTAAAATGTTGTGACATACATTTTAATACATATTGCGTTTGGATAAATCCTAAGTAGAGATATATTAAGAATCCTTCAGGATCTAGAAGTTCTTTCTTATTAAACTTTTTTTTTTAGTACATCTATATTTTTATAGTAAGGGAGGGGGAATTCGGCTATGTCACACAATGAGCAGCCTAATTTAGTATCAAATTCGTTATCATGAGATTCAAACCTAAGACCTCTCACTTCAAAGTGAAGAAGAATATCACCAGACCGTAATACTGCAGTGGCATTTTTCTTATTAAACTTTGTATCACTTGTAAAACAAGTTTCTCTCCTCCCCATTACTATAAATAAAGGCACTAAGAACCGAAGAATAAGACATAGAATTCCTCAAGCCTATTCTCCATCTCTCCCTCCCTCTAGTCGCACCACTCAATTAAATATAGGTGACAACACGTTATCAACACGCTCTTGACACTACGTTAAAGAGAATTTATTCGTCTTCAATCAAGGTAAATTGTTGTTTGACACTATGAACTATTACCACATTTAAAATTGACCTCATGAACTAATTTTTTGAAAAATTAACCCATAAACTATTTGAAATTAGCCAATTAATCCCTCACAATTAGATTCAATAAATTTCATCCACTTTACTATCAAACACTGACACAACTTTACTCTCAAAAGTGAATCACATGTTGGTCACGTGCTAGTATTCAACAACATTGCTGATTTCCTAACAATGAGAATGTTAGAACTGAGAATACATGCCAAAACATTGCATGAAATGTTTGATTGCTTTCTGAACAAGTAATTTCAGCCATCCAGATTGCCCTTTTGCTTAATGCTTACGTTTAAGGGCCTGTTTAGGAATGCTTATGCACTAAGTACTAAACACTGTTAAGCAGCATTCACTTGATATAATTGATAATTAATATCAAAACATTCACTTGATATAATTAGGGGCAGCGGCCTCTCTCTCTCTCTCTCTCTCTCTCTCTCTCTCTCTCTCTCTCTATATATATATACATATTACATCACAACAAAACTGAAAACTGCTGCAATCAGACAAGTTCAATGAATTATTACAGCCATTTTCACTTGCATTGGTGATCAGATGGGAACTTGACCGAAGTTTAAAACATCGACCCCTCGGCAATAGAAGTGGTGACACCTCATAAACTAAGTACCCCATGTTTACCTTCTTCCACAATTGCTTGTAAGCGAAGACAAGCCGGGTCATGCAGTATTTTACTTGTTCCAGCTGTCGTTTTACACTTGTTTGTAGATGAGGACATATGCCTGGTTATGCAATACTTTACCAGTCCCAATTGCCGTGACCGAAGCATCATCAAAGCGTAGCCACTGACCATTGGCATAGAGAGCATCAGTTGTATAATGCCCCTTTGACGGCTCGCTCCCGTGATGAGTTATTGTAGCAACGAGTTTGTATTTTCGACCCTACATAAACAGAGCAAACGCCAAAAAATAAGCACCAAAAGTAATATTTGAAATCTGGCTACGACATTGCAATCCGCAATTGAAAACACCAAGACTTGCTACAACTAGGCCATAGGGAAAATTCAGTATTTCTTATCTTCTTTTCCTCGGGTGAAGTTTAGAGTTATCATAATGTTTAGTTGCTTACAGATGTGACTGATTTCTGAAGCCCCAACTCTGATCATAAAATGCCAGAAGGTGAAGTAAAGAATAAACACACTATGACAGCTACGGACAGGTCGTTCATCAAGAAGAAATAAGGGTCACAGATAAAAGTTTACAAAAAAAAGTTTGATTAGATATAATAGAGCATCACCTCAGTATTTGGAGAAACAAGCAATTCACGGCCCAACACCAATTCAAGTGGAAAATGCACAGGCTTATTCAGCTTAGTGCTTCCTTGACTTCCATAACCAAAACGCTTCAAGTGCAATATCATTATCTTTGAAAGTGTCTTTATCTGTATGGATTTGGTTGCAGTCACAATACCGGCCTGCACAGCATTAATATACACCAAAGTCAAAACAACACTTTAACTGTATGAAACCAATGTATGTTCAAGGTTAATACTTAATACTGATACAAAGCCTAGGCTGTGGCACTTATATAGCATCTCATTTACATTACCTTTAAATTCAAACAATTTTACACTGGGTAGAAGTATACATCAGAAATTTAAAAAAAAATTGAAATGAGAGTATACCTTCCCAGCTGCTGATGTTCGATACCCCTCAAGAGTTTCTGGTGCAGAATACAACTTAAGTGCATCTTCAATGGTACAAACAGCGTCAGGGTAAATATCAAGGTGGAGCAATAAATATGGCTGAACAGTAGCGGAAGCTTTATTTCCTGCTCAACAAAAACCAAATGAACACATAAACTCCAGATAGAATCAACAGTGAGTGGCAAAAAACTACAGAGCGAACCAAAATACAATTGATTCAACTCAGCTAACCACATTTCCAATAATGACGTACACATCATCTAGACTGCCAAATACTGCATCTAACTTTTTAACTACAGAAAGAACCATGAATTCCTGCTAAAACTCATGCATCTTAGATAAATAAATCTGTTGATCAGTTCACAAGCCCATAGGAAATATGGTTAAAAATCTTGAGGATCAGAAAGACATACTGTTCAAGCTGTATTTAAGTTTAAATTTTCAAACAATAAAAACATGTTAATCAACTGTAATTGTTTACCTATTTGAATTATGAAGAAAAATTTAAGGACTCTTAGCCTAAGAATGCAAGTGTGGACGGAAACAATTTAATAACACAAAGATATATCTATTATCTAACAAAGCTTCCAGCAAAGCTTTATAAACTTAAAACGGTGATAATAATAATAATAATAATAATAACGCAATCGCCACACCTCTTGCCTTCACCACACTTCTCGATTGTCCTCCAAAAATATCACTCAATTCTGAAGGAACAAAACTCTGTGTCCTGGTTACTGCAGATGTATTCTTCGGGCCAACTGTCTCCCATTCATCATCTTCTGCTGAAGATATAAGAGATGATTTACGCCCGTTAATGCTTGGGGATTGTCCTTCAAGCTTAAGTAATTCATCATGCATCTGATCCATGATAAAGCTAAGGAACTCCTGAGCATCCTCTTGTCTAAAAAACACCAACAGTTTCAAAAGGAAACTTCAAACAAATCAAAAGCGGAATATATACATAATGGACATAGAAACATATGCCAGGCCAAAAATATTGACCAAGATCAGACAAAAACCTTGGCCTGCAGGAGATGCTAGTCGGAACATCTGGAGTGAAATTTTTAAGAACGCCTTCAAACATGGCAGGGCTAAAAGGCCTACCAGTCTCGAGAACACTTGTATCTTTGTCCTTCGAACTTGAACCACTAGGCATGTCAAATTCAGACACGAACTCTGCAAATGCACTCAATGTCGGATAGCCAACCTAACAAACTCAAGTTTAAATGTCCAACATATCAGTCAAAGTGATAAGCCAGAAAGGGAACAAGGGTTAGGCAAGGTAGCTACTCATTTCTGAGATCCATATTATTCAGTGCACATAAATTTTGTCAGCGTTATAGAAATTCTCCTCAGACCAAAAACGCAAATAATTGAACAAACAGATCATCTAAAAAATGAGGAAGGAACCTTAGGTACTTCAAGAGTTCTCAATTCCTGAAGAAGCTGAACAAAAGGAGAGCAGGATAGAAGAGCCTGCAGGGTTGCATTTAGAAAGCATAGATTTCCTGAATTGATTAGACCACGAGGCAATAAGCTTTTAGAAACTGTAACAGGCGCATTTGAAGCCTTCTGTAGTTCCCCCTTAATCTTAGAAACAGACAAATCATCAACACTGCCATTCTGCAATTCCAGACTTGAAAATTGATTGGAGAGAACACCTTCATCCTTGGATAAAGGCAAAGAGGTTAAGTTAACATTATCAGTTGTCACCTCTTTAACACCATTACTATGGGCAGAACAATTAACATAATTATCAGTACATCCATTCTCTGCTGGAGTTGCTGACGATACAGGTAAATTACCATCTACTGCTTTTACAGCCTTAACTTCATCCTGCTTATTAACTGAAATTAACGGCTGAAGTTTGGTGGGCGCTTTCAAAGAACTTTTCTGTCCGCTTGATTCGCCATTAAATTGAACCGAAGGTTTTGCAGTAACAAAATTTATAGACCCAAACTGCAATACATTCTTCTCCACAGGGTTCTCAGCCTTGAGGCCCTTGACAGGTGATTGCTTTAGCAGCAATGACCTGGTCTCGTCTTCAGAGAATGACCCAAACACTAGTAACTGCAAACAAGGACTAGCAAAATTCAGCAGGTTTTAGAGCATATAAAAGAGTAAATCCGCCCCAATGATAACATTAGTATTCAAAATCACATTTTAACCTAGCAGTAAATCAGTACAAGCTGTTGGGCTACCAGATGCTAACACAGAAATGATCAAAACAACTTTAGTTCTGCATTATTACTCAAAATCAAACTCAGATTCTAGTGAGATACAACAGCTTTTTTCGAAATAGAGTCACCATTGCCATCACAATAAATTCTCAAAATTCATATGCATTTCTTTATTACACTTAAAAAATGGTGGTAAAAAACACCCAAAAAGTTCACATTTATGAACAAACTAACCATACCAATAAAAGTTCCATCAAAGCATGAAGTAATTCACAGCTACAATACCCAAATTTTCGATCTTCCTAACTACTAAACTTCACAAAACCAGTAAAAAGCAAAACCAGTAAAAAGTCATCGAAATTATCCACCTCGAACGAAAATCACAACGAAAATACAAACTTGCCAAATGTGAAAGAGAGAAAACCCACCTTAGAATCACTCATTTCGTGCGCATAACCGAATTGGAAACCCCAGAAACACCCAAAGAAAAGCAGGAACTTTGTGTGCGAGAAGATTGAGAGCGAGGAACAAGTATGCCGAAAACGTCAGAACCGGAACCAAGAATTAGGGTTTTGAGAGGCCCTGAACGAGCAGAGGAGAAGAGAAGGAAGTCGACTGAAGACATGAAAGGAGAGGGAAATGGAGATTGGTGAAGGGAGAGAGCATTTAACGAAGAAACCCTCCTCAAGAACCTGCTCAACAAACCCTAACATCGACTGCAGAGAGGAAGGGATAGAGAGAAAGATGCTTAGGTTTAGAGGATGAATTGGAGCGTTGTTTTTGTTGCTGTGATACTTAGTAGCAAAGGATTTAATATTTTAAAAAAAATTATAATTATTTATAATATGATATTTAATGTATCGAATTATATTTTTAATATTTTGAAAATTTTCTCCAGAACTTATTAGGAATGGGCGGCAGGCTGCCTATTTCCGCTCGTGCCTAATTTTATAAGAAACATTTTTATTGATGAGGCCTTTTGTTAGAAGGGAAATCAAGATTTTCATACACCGCTTTTAGTTTTTTACATACTTGCTCACTTTTGTTTATTTATTTTTTGCTGTTTTATTTAATTTAATTATTGATTATAAATTAATAAGGGCGTGTAAGAGAAGGATAAGAGTGTGAATAAATGACACATCATAATCCGGAATGTCCATCTAGACTCCAAATAAAGCTATGTTGGTCGACACCAAGATCGTGACGAAGCCATAAAGTGTAGTAATGTGAAAAATATGAATAAATTTAAACCTAAAAGTGCCTAAATATAAGAGTGCGCTTGTGAGCAGAAATGAACTCATTTCACACATGATGTCAGAGCATAAGTAAAGTACAGTAAAGTAGGATAAGAATTATACCATCAAAGATAATCTCCAATACCAAGATTTGCCAAGAATCATCGTCGACACAAAAGTACAACACTAAAACCTGGAGGAGTGAAAAACAAGGATGAGTGGGTCTAAAATAAATCTTTGTAAAAAAAACCTTTTCGAAAACATAATAACCCCTCGCTGTAAAACAAGTATAGTTTCCAAAATATACATATAGGGGTGCAACTCGGATGGGTTGAGCAGGTTGGACGATCAACCCAATCCTAACTCAACTTTTACAATTCGGGCTCGGGTTCGGGTTGGGTTTCATTCGGGTTCATTTGGGCTCAGGTTTAATTGGGTTAGGGTTTACTTGGGTTGGATTTGGATTGCCCAACTTTTTCAAGTTTAATCTTATAACAACTTAGTTTCCAAGAATTCTTAAAAAAAATTAAGCCAAGTAGCATCAAAGCTAGCTAACTCTAATTTCATAAATCAATCTACTATAAAGCTTTAGGATTTAGAGACTACGAATGTGGGCTAACAAATCAAAGTCTCTTATTCCCTAAAAGCTTAGGTAATTATAAAGGGTAATTTATTAAAAAATTATTAGAAAGCGCGTTGGTTTTTGGACTTGGCACACTTGGGTGTAGTATGAGCATTAATTGATATGGGTTACAATCTACTTAGATTGGGTTTGGTTAGTTGGGTTAGGTTGAGTTGGGGATGGACGGGCAAATGATCAACCCAACTCAACCCAATCAATGAACAGGTTGAAATTGAGTTGGGTTCGGACGGGTTATAACTAAAAAAAATCCGCTTGTTCGGGTTTAAAATCGGGTTGAACATGACCAAGTTCTGATTGGCCCAACCCTAGTTGCACCCCTATATATATACAACGTATAGTAAGAAAATACTTACCGTAGCCTACAATATCTCAAGAATTTAATACGGCACAATATTTCGTAAGTAGACGCATGACATCCGTAATCACACAATCTCGCATAAGCAAACATATCATATCGAGTGCTCATCGACACATGCTGACACACGAGTTCATGCAAAGATATTATGTGACATCCCACATCGCCCAGGGGAGTGATCCTTATATGTATATTCCCATCTTTACCTAGCACGAGACTTTTTGGGAACTCACGAGCAACTTCCCAGTGGGTCACCCATCATGGAGTTGATCTAACCCCCTTCTCGCTTAACTTCGGAGTTCCCATGAAACCCGAAGCCAGTGAGCTCCCAAAAGGCCTCGTAATTGACATATCCTGGCCCGGGACGGATCACTTCCCGGGCCCGCTCCACCACCGTAGCATGATATTGTTCGCTTTGGGCTTACCATTCCCTCACGGTTTTGTTTTTGGGAACTCACGAGCAACTTTCAAGTGGGTCACCCATCATAGGATTGCTCTAGCCCCCTTCTCGCTTAACTTCGAAGTTCCTACGGAACCCGAAGCAATGAATTCCCAAAAGGCCTCGTGCTAGGTAGAGATGGGAATATACATATAAGGATCACTCCCCTAGACAATGTGGGATGTCACAATCCACCCCCCTTAGGGGCCCGACGTCCTCGTTGGCACACTCGTGACCAGGGTTAGGCTTTGATTCCAAATTGTCACATCCCGCCCCGAGGCGGATCACTTTCGGGGCCCGCTCCACCACTGTAGCACGATATTGTCCGCTTTAGCCCCTTTCTCGCTTAACTTCGGAGTTCCCATGGAACCCGAAGCCAGTGAGCTCCCAAAAGGCCTCGTGCTAGGTAGGGATGGGAATATACATTTAAAGATCACTCCTTCCCTGGGCGATATTGGATGTCACATATTATGACATGAACAGGACTGGGTGTAATAATAATATACACTCTAGTACTACAATTACGTGAAGACTGGCAATATGCGCAGCACATACGAGTTCTAATTACCTATAACAATCTAGGACAGGATTGACTGTTGGAAATGTGCCCTAAAACCAATCATATGATGATACTTTACGGACATTTCACAAAGTTAAACTAATGTAGTTTAAATGTAAAGGGCAAACATTATTGTTTGAGCCGTCTCATATAAATGTTATATGCTTAAACGATAAGTCCAAGGAATATGTGATTGGGAGAATACGATCTAAAGAAGTTAGATTCATGAGACCATTCTTTCGTAGACACATCCTAAACGTTCCTGATCATAGGATTGCCAATTGGGCATTGACAGTCCGTTAAGATCAGTACGTGTTGTGTCTTCTCTCAGGGAGAGTGACTAGTCTCGAGTCATTGGTGTGAGTGACACCAAGACAAGCATGTAGGTGCTCAATAGAGAATGAGTTCACTGAACACGATCAACGAAGAGTTCTCATATTCATGTCACATGAGAACTCATGGTTGGGATAATGCAAATTAGTCTTTTGACCTGAGGCATCACAGTTGTCTTGTGGTTAGGTCCTTAATCTTTGATTATGTCAAAGTCACTCCATCAGGAGGGTGTCCACGGCATCGTTGGGGTTAAGTCACTTAGCCATGGAGGCAAGTGAATGCGCAACAAGGGATCTCTAACCTTCAAACTGTTTGAGGGAGAATACTCTATGATATGATTAAGAATCTTTGGCCAAAGTATGAATGAGATTTAGGAATGTGTTCCAAATCACATTCAAGGTAATCATATAAGCACAAGACTCACATTGGATAGTAGACATGAATAAACTATCAAACCAAACAATGTGGTCAAGAGTATTGTATTAGAGAAATACCGTATTGCATTTGTAATCCTAAAACTGAATAGGTTCTCCACCTCTTCTGATTAGCTTGGGTAACCATGACATGCTGCTAGGCATCAACCATGGTTTGTGGAAGCCCTAAAAGTGTATTATCACTAGCGGGAGAATTGAAAGTAAGTTTCAATTCACAATCGATTAGAAAGAGTTTTAATCGCCCACTGCCTCGCTAAAAGGAACCTAATGGATCGTTCACCGAGTAAGGTAGAGTTTGAAGAAACAACAGAGATGAGTAAAAATAATTAAATGGTTTAATTATTTATCTAAGGCTAGGATTAATTAACATGTTAATTAATCAAACGAATAAGTTCGTTAAAGATCTCGGGTTAGTTTTGGGCCGCAAGGCCCAATGGGATTTGAATGTCAAGCCCATTAACTCAAGTTGTATGACAACTTGAATAAAAAGGGCTTGAAAGCCCAATAAACCCTATAGGCCAGCCATGTTAGAAGAATAGGGCTTTTGGTCCATTAGGTCACTTATTTGAAGGGACTATATAAAGGACTTTATAGCCTAAAATTCATTAAGGGTTGTTTTTGGGGAAAGGATGAGAACACAAGCTCTCCTTTCTCTCTAAAATTTCGGCCACCTTGGAGGGATCATCTAACAATCAAACTCCTCCAAGGTCACTCATTTCTTCTTCATTATGCCTTGGTGATGAATCATTAGAGGTTCTCAATTTTGGGAACTTTGGAGAAACCTTTTTTTATCCATCCAAATCCATAGATTTAAGATGTAAGGAATGAAGGCCCTCTCTTTGGGTGATTAGCCTTTGTTTAAATACAAAGAGGAATCTACAAAGGTATATATTTCAACTCACTTTGTTTTGAGTTGATTATTGGTTCACCATTTTACTAGGCTTTGAACATTCATGGGTAATGTTTTGTTTTTAAGTGCATGCTAGCATGATTCCGCCTTTAATTTGTTAATTGCATGCTAATGATGTTGCTTAAATGAACATGTCATCTTCCAAAATAATCCTTCAAGTGGTATCAGAGCCTAGGCCTAGTTTATGGTGGATTCTTTTGGGTTTTGTGATTTTTCATATTTTGTGATTTAAGTGTTGTAAATGTTACAAGCTTTATTCTTGCTTCTTTGAATGTAAATTTTGTTAGAAAATTTGTCATCTCAAATGTTGTAGATGTAGTTCATATGAGCATGAATTTTTGAGCTAAATATTGGTGCCATGTTTTTGGGGAAATTCGGCCAAATCCAAAGGGTGGATTTTTGGATTCTTGTTTGACTTGTTAAAAGTGTTTTAAAGTGACTTTTGGAACCCCTATATACCCTAGTATGGTTGTATGTTATTTCCCTTAAGTTTGAGTGGTTTTGGGATGTTTTTGGGTGAAGAATGTTCTTCATTGTTATTGATATGTTCTTGCCAAGAACAAAAGGTTTGGTGTTTTGATTCAAAGTTTTTGATTTATTTCATAAAGTTTTTGTTTTGAAATATTTCTTATGATTAAATATATTAGATATTTATTTTAAAAAAATTAAAGAAATTT